AAGGTATGAGAATTGTGTAATTGTTTTTATTTATTTATTTTTTGCAGACGGTTGTGTGGGTTGAAGGACTGCTCACTTGGAGGTAATTGAGAAATAATAATCATAATAATAATAATAATAATAATAATAATAATAATAATAATAATAATAATAATAATAATAATAATAATAATAATAGAAAATCTTGTAAAGCGCTCATACAAGTCTGTTCTTAGCTCTAAGTTAAATTACAAAGCAAAATCTATTTCAAATAAATGAGTTTTAAGATTAGTTTTAAACTGGAGATAAATTAGAAATATCTCTAAGTGAATAAGTGAACACGGTAAAGAGTTCCAAAGTTGAGGAGCAGCGACACAGAAAGAACGTAGACCAAATAATTTGACATTGGAAGACTTGGAAGACAGAAGCAAATGAGACGATGAACGAAGTTTTCTTGAAGGTTTGTGTAGAGTGATGAGTTCTTGTATGTATACAGGGTGAAAGATCATGGAGTGCTTTAAATGTTAATAAAATTATTTTCATCATAATACGATGAGCAACAACCCTGACCCTGTTCCAGAGTAAAATCGTTTTACGCAAAAGGTTTGTTTGCGGTTTAACATTGATAAACTTTGAAGTTCGTGCAAGAATTGCWTCAAGCACTTTGAAATCCAGGCTACAAAGGCAGCGGAAAAGAAGACGAGAGAAAACGCTAATTCCGTTGTCGATATGTTGGACAAATGAATTCAAAAAAGAACTTTGGAGGTTTGACAGTCAAGCAGCTCAAACTTTATTTTGAACGGGAGATAACGCACTAGAAGCCGCAAACTACATACCATCATGTACATCAGTGATACGTCCATAATCATATTCCTTACGCATTTCTTTTAACAATATACTGTATATATTGATCCTCAATATTCATGTATTTCCTTTTGTTGTTATTAATCCATTTTTTTTTATTCACTTCAGATATAAACTATTCTTTTCTTTTCCAGAAGCGCCTATTTTCAGTGTATGTGCTAAACTTGCAAACACTTAAAAAACAAGGTTCAAGGATCAAAGTGTTGGCTGGTAGCCAGACATAGTAAAGAGGTGTATTCATAGGCATCAGTGAGGCAAAACTCAATAGCGACCGGGTTATAATGTCCTTGGTTATCGACCAAATGTTACTCACATCCCTCCCGGTAGTCTCTTATAGCACGTGGGTGGGGTTAAGTCCTTAAAGTGCATATAACCCCTAAGAATAAACCATTTTAGAAAATAAAAATAAAAAGGAATTATTGAAGATTACGTCTTGATCATGTTTGACTAAAAAAATGATTATTTCTGTTGTTCTTGGCCTTATATTTGTCCCAAAGCGATGTTTTCTGTGTATTTGCGAGTAGTTGTTTTTTGGAATTAACTCGGATCCCTGTGGTTTGCACACGGACGTACGGACGTATGTAAGTACCGCGCGGATGCTCCGCTAAAATGAAAATCCTCAAAAATATCCATCCTGAAGTCCAAGTCCAAGTTCCATCGATTTTAGTCTGAGTTTTAGCCTACGTAATGGTACCTACGTAGTTGTGGTCTTTCTTTGTAAACAAAGTTACAAGCGAAGTTTTAGTGGCGAGTGGTTGAACTTCTGCCAAATCTAAATCCTTCATTTAAAACGGTAAGGAACGGGAATATTGCTTGGAACTTCCTTCAGAATTGCTTTACTCTTCATTATTTATTATGTCTATCCGTATATTTCTTTAAAATCAAAGTACACCTAAAATAAAATTCTTATTCAACGAGACAGCTAGAAGTTGATCTCAAGGTCAGAATATTCGTTTACTAAAATTATACGTCGTTATCATCTTAAAAGCAAAATGAAAGCCGTGCATGGATAAACTTCTATGTACCCTTTATTTACTTTATATAATAATTTTAACGTCGAAGGCATGCATCTTATTTTGGTGTAGTTTAGCTTGGAAATGAAGTGCGTAGTATTTCTATAACACATTTTAAAAGATAGTGACAGAGCGACTAATGTACAATGAAAATTATTATGGATATAAAAGTTATGAGAAAATCACTAAAATCATAAAAGTATCCAAATTCCAAGAGTCTTTCAACCTTCATTCCGGATCTTAGCATAGGTATTCATATGGTAGACGGCATTCTTCAAGCGCTATCCCTAAAAAAAGATCGAATTACGTTTTGCTTAGTTCATGGAGGAAGAAAAGTCTCTAAAGCTTCATATTAACGGTAAGACTTATACTTGTTCAGGATTCCTCTCAGAGTTGCTTGAATCTTTATAATTTCTTTTGTTAATCGATATTTTGAAATTTATGGGCATTTTGTAAACGAAAATTCTCGTGAACGAGTGAGCTAGAAGTTGAATAATACGGGATGGATCTGAAGCGAAGGTCAAAATGCAACGCGTTTCAGACATTTACATATACATTTTCCATCGTTGTATTGCTCTTAACTAGTTGTAACCTCAGTTTATGAAATGAATTAGGCGACAGGTAGTGGAACAACCATTTGCGTAATTTGTTTCCTGTTTCCTGTGGTAATATGTAATACTAGTTGTTTGTTGATACTGTATTTTAACGGAATCATAGTCAARTATAGTCTGGCACCTTTGACGCTTTGATTTAATATTCTTAGTAGCTGGAATATAGGTACGGATATAGAAACTGTCCTTATTGAGTGTGATTCAAATTGTGACTTTCTTTCTAACGTTATGGATTTTTCGATATGAAGCTAAATGACCCCATTTGTTGTCAAAAGCGATAGAAAATATCGATGAAAGGGGCATTCAAGAAATCGTCGAACGATTTTTTCCTAAATGAAGCAAGTCACTAAAAGATGTATCTCTTACAAATATTCTCCTTTAATTTCATATGCATTGAAGGGTTTTAAGGCAGTCAAATAAAAATAAGTACGCTCACAACTATTTTCGCTCACGGCTGCTTGTTGATTATTCACGCTTCACTTCCGTGTTATTCCTTGTCGTGTGCTGTCTCGTACTGTTAGTTGTGAGCGTACTTATTTTTATTTGACTGCCTTAAAACCCTTCAATGCATATTATGCAGATCGAGTCATTCAAGACGAAGTTGTAGCCGTTTCAATGCGGCTAGGTGTGCCAGACTAAAACTACCCTACCCAGAGCCTCTATAATAGTAGTCTTTTTTTGCGGATACGAAAATGCTCGCGTCCACACACAACGTATTCGAATCGTTTTCGAATTTTTTTCACTCTCCACACGTATCCGGAACAGTTTCTTGATCCGCCCTGATGCATGCTAGTGACTAGTCCCTTTGACGGATAGTTTTTCTTATTGAGCATACGCAAATCGTGTTTACGTCATCGTATTCGAAAATTTGCGGATACGACCGTCCACACGTATCCGTATTCGGAGCGTATTCGAAAATTTCCACTCTGGAGACCGTTTTCGATAATTTCCGGATACAGATACAAAAATTTCCGAACACGTGTGGACGCAACCCGTATCCGCAAAAAAAATTTGCGGATACACAAATTTCCGGATACGTGTGGACGGGGCCTAAATGTTAGAATGTTTGTAACAAATGGACCGTTTCAAGCAGCCGCCTTGTTGATTTGAACAATAGATTCTACCACCACGTAGCCTTGCATCTAAGTCCTTAAAAAAGATTCACGTAGGTAAAATAAAGGGTTTTGTTTGCCCACTGTGTATTAAAGGTCCATATCTAGACAACTATAATATTATACAAACTTCAGAATTTAGTTGCGTTGGGTAATACTTTATATAGCCTCCTGCGCAGCCGCTGTGAGGCCCGGAAGCATTATTATGCTTTTTGTATTTTATGAGGGTGACACTTAATAAACATTTGGCCTTCACTCTATCATCGAATTTATTTAGAAACTGATTTTTTTTTACAGAAAACTGGAGAAAAACCCTCAAAACACGTGGGAAAATAATCTTGAAACCTTACTTGTTATTTTTTATTTTGTTATTTATTGTTAAATATACCCATATTGAACAACAATATAAATATGAATAAATAAATATGAATTACAAATGGGAATAACGAATGAATAGGATGGTTTCAATGTATTTTTAGGATATAGAAATATTAAAAGCTTGGCTTGGCTTGGCTTGGCTTGGCTTGGCTTGGCTTGGCTTGGCTTGGCTTG